AAAAGTTAAAAGAATATGCCTCTTTCAAACCTGCCCTACAAATGATACTTCAAGATGTTCTCTTGACAGAGAAGAGGAATAGCACCAAACAAAACCAAAGACAAACGGGAAGAACATCCCAGTAAAATGACAACAGAAGACTAAATCAATGAACAACCCATTGCTAAAATGACAAGACCAAAGTACCACACATGTATATTAACCCTGAATGTAAATGGCTTAAGCTCAAACATCATAGACTAGTAAACTGGATTTAAAAACAAAACCCATCTGTTTATTGTCTGGAGAAGACACACTTCAACAAAGATCAGCGGAAACTGTATCACATGGGTTTTGTTGTTTTCTGTTAGTTTCATCTCTTCAAAACACTTTCTTATGATTAAATCATTCAATGACTCATAGATCATGCAGTGGCATCATTTTCTTCAAGAAGGTTCTTGATTTTCATTTCCTCAGCTACACGTTAGTCATTTAATAGCATGTTGTTAACTTCTTGGTGTTGTTAATTTCTTGTTTCTCCTGGATGTTGATTTTGTTTTGTGGCTCTTCATTTAAGGGGAATGTATAGTAGTTGTGTAATGGAGACTGTCATATCTAATAACATGTCATTTAACTTCATGGCATTGTACATTTGTATTTTTCTTTCTATTGTTGATTTTGTATCATTACTTTTCATTTGAGGGGATGTACAGTAGTTATGAAATGGAGACTAACATCCAGAGGTGAGGATGCAGTGTGGTATGCATTTCTGTTTCCAGACAAAGATGGACTTACAATGAAACTGTTTACTCTATCTTGACAACAGGATTCTGGACTCTCTGCCATTGTCCATGCCCGCAATGATGGACATATATGATGAACTATATGTTAGTAATGATATAGAGGAACTAGGTGGGGGGAGGGAATTGGGGAGGAGATAAGGGAATATGGAACTGTATCATAAAATGACAGCAATAATAATATAATGTAAAAACAAATTATTTGCTTTGCTTATCATAGGACCAAAACAAGTGTTTACGCATTTCACTAACTCATAAACCAGTCAAGGGCTGTTGAGGGTAATTTTAGTTCTTAGAATAACACCTGTGTTTGTTGTGTTCAGAATCCATGAAAGATGTTTCTACAGGAAATTTAATGTCAATTATATCCCCAAACTAAAAATTGATAACGTATGTAGGTTTATTATTACAGGTTTGGAGAAACTAGGTCATCAGAGAATCTGCTTCATGTGGTGATTTTTCAGACTTGTTTGATGGAATTCCTGCTTTTTATTCCCTCATGAAATAGTCCAAGTGGAGACACTTGTGTTTGGTGACTTAGCAATCTCCATGCAGCTCATAGCTGTTGTTGCGCCTGTTGACAGTTTGCTGTGGGTAGAAAAGGGGGAGGTTTTCTTAGGTTCCAAGGGAGGTGAATGATGGAGACTTCAGCAGAGGCAGACATTCAATTTACATCATTTGTGGCCTAAACTCCACTGGAGAGCTCTTAGGGCTGCCCTATTAGTACTTTCTTCAGGGGTGGGACTGACCATGATGTTTTACAAGAGACATCTTTAAGGAATCTCCCACAGCAGTAGCTCCATCTCCATTTAAGTCTGAGTGAGGGAGCCAGTACGATGGCTCTGTAGGTAAATCCTTACCTTGCATGCACCAGGAACCCATATGGATGCCAGTTGTGTCCCAGCTATTCCACTTCCCATCAAGCTCCCTGCTTTTGTCCTGGGAGGGTAGTAGAGGACTGTCCAAGCCTTGGGACCCTCACCCACGTAGGAGACCACAAGAGGCCCCTGACTCTTTGGATCAACTCAATTCCAACCACTGTTGCCATTTTGGAAACAGTGGATGGAAGGTCTTTCTCTGCCTGTCCTTTTTTTCTATAAATATGCCTTTCAAATTAAAATAAATAAATATTTCTTTTTTTAAAAAAAAAAGAAGAGACTGTGCAGTAGCTTAGCATCTAAAGTCCTTGCCTTACACTCTCCAGATTCCCATTTGGGTACCGGTTCCTATCCCTACTTCCCATCCAGCTCACTGTGGCCTGAGAAAGCAGTAGAGGATGACCCAAAGCTTTGGGAACCTGCACCTACATTGCAGACCTGGAGGAGACTCCTGGCTCATGACTTCAGATCAGTGCAGCTCTGGCCGTTGCAACCACTTCAGAAGTGAATCATTGGACAGAGGAACTTCCTTTCTACATCTGATTTTCCATGGAAATAAAATTAGTTTATAAAAAAATAAATTAAATAAATTAAAATAAAAGTGAATAAGGTCTTGTAACAGGAAGTTTTAAACTGTGTATGGTATCATTGTCATTCCACATGAGAATGCCAGACAGTAATGTTATTTGTGAAACTTATGCATAGATGTGAAAAAAAATGGAAGTTTTCTACTATACATCCAAATTGCGTTAACACTACTGACACTGGTTTCCAGCCACCATCTGCTCCTGGGACAATGAAGCAAACAGCCCAAGAGTAAGCTGGGACTCTAGGGAAACAGAACACAAAGCTTCAAATGCATGGGTCACCAGTGATGGTGACATGCAGCTCAACTAACCAACCAGTGGCTGCCCCTCCTTCCAGCTCAGTGAGAAAACCCCTAAGGTGGAGGCTGTGTGAATGAGATGCATTGCTGCTGTTAACCCAGAACTTTCCAAGACAGGAAATCACTCTCCAAAGATGGATTATAGGGGAAGGTAAATTATGACCAAGCAATGGAGAACACTGTACTGTCAAGTGAGTGTGTGTGTGTGTGTGTGTGTGTGTGTGTGTGTGTGTGTGTGTCAGTCATCTCATCACACACGCACCATCAGTGTTGCTGCTCATTGTGTACCAGCCTCCTACAGGAGCAGTATAACTGAGGGACTTAAGTTTGTCACAATCTACTTGGTGCCTCCCTCAGTTCCAGCCTTTGTCTTTCTGGAACTCCTCCCTCATCACAGGCCCACATGCTTCTCCACTGCCCCCACCAGGACACATGGCCAGTTTTACAGACTGTACCTGCCTGTCCTGTGACCTCTGACACTATTTACAGTCTTCTCCACTCAGCAAAAATGTCAACACAAGTTGGATCGTGCTGTTCTCTCACTGAAACCCTCCATGTTTCCCTGTGGGCCCACAGCACCTTCTGTGCTGGGGTCTCTGTCCATCTCTGCCCTCACCTCCCACAAAAGCCAGGCCCTAGATGTGTCTCTCACTGTGCTGTGTTTGGGCAGGAGAAGGTTACATTTCCATTAAGATAGTAGGAGCAGAAGAGATGGGAGGAGAGGAGGACAGCCATGGCAGTTCTTGCCTTCCACCTCCTGCCTGCTCTACTCAACAACACTGAGCTGACCCAGCTTTGGCGATGCAGCAGCTCCAGAGCGCTGGCTGCTGCAGCCTGCTGCCTGACACGGTCCCCTTTGCGCCCTCTGTCCTACCATCCTGCAGGTGACATTAAAGCATTTCCCTCACCTGGGTAACCAGTTCCATGAATTCCATTCATTTGTAGTTCAAGGACTTAGGACTTCTGTTTTCTGCTATCCCATTTTGTGGGAAAGAAGTCATCAGCCTGGGAAAGGCACAGAGGCTCAATACTTTAATACCAGATCTCCGCTGGAATGTCCTGTGACATTAAAATCCTTCTAATTGTGTGATTTACGTAGACCTTCCTGTGGCTGTGTCTGAAAACACTTGTGTCTCCCAGCACAGCCTTGTAATGGCCACCAATGCCCTTCTTTTCATCCATGATAACTGGATTTTCCCTGTACACAGCACTGTACAGAATGAAAACCAAACCTTCACATATTCCTGGCACCCAACTACACCATGTGAAGAGGAGATGGGTGCAGGCCCCAGGCTGAGTGGTCATTGATGAAGCCTGCCCCTCCCTCTCCTGTCTGTAGCGTGGCTGCGGTGCAGCAGCCACGCTGGGCTGAGTTCCTCTGCTAGTGCTACGCTCAAGGAGGGGCCTGGATAGATCCCTCCTGGTCCTCAGAGGAAGCACCTGCTGACACCTGGAAGCTGGACTTCTGGTCTCTAGAACTGCTGCTCACAAGACTGCTGTGTGAATGAGGCCCTTGAGCCCTTGATGGTGCAATTAATTCTGTTTCTGCCACCTATGCAGGGGACCTGCATTGAGCTCTTGTTCCCAGCTCCATCTTTAATCATGTTGAGGAGCAAACCAGTGGATGGAATGGATCTCTCTCTCTTTCAATTTGTCTCACACACTCTGTGTATTTAACTCACTCTACCTCTCACATGAGAAAGGCAGATATGTGTGAACATTTGGCATGACAGTTGGGTCACGTGTGAGGACTCCTGCATCTCGTATCAAAGGGCCTGGGGTCCCAGCTTTGCTTCTGATTCCAGCTTCCTGCTGATACACAAGCTGGAAGCAGCAGGTGATGGAATCAGCATAAGTATTCCTAACACACACACAGGGAAGACCAAGATGAAATTCCAGACCCCAGGCCTCAGGCAGATCAGCAGGAATTTGAGAGTGAATCCGTGTACAAAAGATTTTTTTATCTCAGTCAATTTTTGGCTGTCTAGCTTCCAGTTACAAAAACAAATCTCTCTATTCAGGTGGTAACAAATCTTGATCGCATATTAGAGATAGTAAAACTGAAACTCAGAGAAGTGAAGCTGTGACCCCAAGGAGTCAGAACTAAGAGGCAGAACATGCAACATGTGGGATCAGATCTGAGGGGTTCCAGCACCGGTGACCCTTCCCGAGGTAGGTGGCATGTTCTGATGCCAACTTTCCATCCTGCTCCTCTGTTATCAATTGGCCACCTGGTGCCACCTATTTAACCTCACAGTGAGTTATCCCTGAGTTCTTCCTTTGGCTGTCACTCTTCCATGTGCAGCTGGTGGGGACTGTGGCCTTGGACCATGGGAGATCTGGTGCTCCACCACCTGTTCTGGAGTGGGGCCCAGTCCAGCACCCTCCTCCTCTCTGTGCCTGCCCTATATTAGAGGCCAGGTTCCGTTTCTCCTTCCCTTCTTCTCCAGATCCACAATGATCCGGCTGCTGAGCTCCCTCCTCCTTGTGGCCCTGGGTAAGCCCCCATCCTGAGTCTGTGCTGCCTGTGCTGGCTTGGGCAGGAGCCCTGAAATCTACCCCCCACCCTGGGTCCTGTGATCCCAACACCAGTTTCCATAACAAGGGTCTCAGTGTGTACCTGGGTTTAGTAGTGGGAGCTTTCAGCTTGGTGCTGAGGAGCAGAGGAGAGGGGAAACAGGGGATGGATCAACTCAGAGGAAAGACAGGGAGCAGCACCAAGTGCAGCAGAGTCCTTGGTGGGGAGAGAACAAAGTCTCATGGTTAAGAGTCTGGCTCTGTGCTTAAAGTGCATGAGATGGAATTTCCACTCCTCTGATGAACACTCTAGTTTTCCACTCACACTCCTTCTAGCTGGCTCCATAGCCTGTGATCAGCCTTGTGCTGCTCTCTGCCATGTTAAGTTGAGCTCTGTCCCTCTCCTGTGAGCAGCTTCTGCTATTGACAATCATGGTGACATGATATTTACTGAGTACTTACCATCTGCTCAAAATACTGAGTGATTTTTCTATGTCCTCATGTTATTCTCATCACAGCTCCGTAAGGTCAGTACTATCGTCCCCATTTTACAGATTCTGTCATTAACCCTCAGAGAGGTAAAGAAGTTCACCCTAGTACAAGGGGATGGGCCGTGCTCTGAACGCAGGGGATCTTATTTCAAAACCTCTTCCGAAAAACTCGTTCAGAAAAATTTACTGGTGTGTTTTATTTTTTAAAGAGAGAGGAAAAGCTCAGAGAGAGAGACTGATAAACACACCTGTCCCTCCCTGGGTTGCTCTCTAATGCATGACTAAAGACGGCAGTCCATGGGGACTGAGGCTCCAGCACTCAGGCCATCATTTCAGCCTCCTAGGGCACACACTGAAGGGAGCTGGAACTGAACACACAGAGTCAAAGCACAAACCAAGCACTTGGTGTGGGCTGTGGGTGACTGACGGGCTGTCCTACCACAGCACCAATGCCACCCCAAAGCCTCCACTCTCGGGGACAGCAGCCAGCACTGGGAGAGGGCTCCTTGTCCCAGATTATGTGAAGTGTCACCCTCCTCAGTCACTCAATTTAGGGAGACTGCATTTTATCTCCATCCTTGGAGTCCTCGGACTCTGGAAAGTCCTGTTGTAGTGCCAGTGCTCACTTCAAAGGTGGCTGCTGAGGGTCAGAGGGCAAAAGGGGCTTCAGGGCTAACACAACATACGTGGTACCATGGGATTGGGATCCTTCCCAGCTTTCCTGTTGGGGTCTCCCTGGTTGACTGATGCCCCACCTCTGCTCTCCTCTCTTGTCTCTGCTCTCTAGCCACAGGCTCACACCCACCAATCCACATCCCCTCCAGCCACTTCTCCAACCCCTCCAGCCGTGTGGTCAATGGTGTTCCTGTAGATCCCCCATACAAGTATCCCTGGCAGGTAAGAGCAACACCAGCTGCACTGATTCCCACTGTGGGCTCTGGACTCCAGGTTCGGATTGCAAAGTCTCGAATTCTGATCCCATAGCTCCCTTTGCAGCCCTCACACCTGCTTCATATGTTCTAGCAACCTGGAAGAGTCAGCTTTACCCAGAGATTCTACCCATGCCATCCACAAACCTCACTGGGCTGTTCTCACATTGGACTCATAGATAGAGAATGTGTCCATGGCCCAGAGTGTTCTCAGGAACATTAGCAAGCATGTTCTAGGAGGGGCAGAGAGTGAGTTCTGTAGCCCTGTCAGCTACACGGCTTCTCCAGCAGTGACTTAGCCCTGCCATTGCAGCAGGAAAGCAGCCAGAGAGCACGTGTGCCTGAGTGAGTGGCCTGTGTGCAGTCAGCATCTGTGTACACAGAGACCACAGCCAGCCTGGGGCCGTGGGTCACCCTTGTACAACCTTGGTCTCCAGAGAGATTTTGAGAAACTGAATGAACAGGAAACCAGAAGGGAGGCAAAGGAGTCAGGGTGAGCTGTGCTTCAGAAGATCCGAGAGTGCTGAAAGAGCTAAGATGCAGGAGAATGGGACCTGAGAGAGCAGAGAATCTTAGGGCTGTCAGTGGACAGAAGATGTGGGGCTTCTCTTGGGTAAGGAATGTTGGGGTCTTAAGTGTGGGTAGACTGAGCATCCCAGTGATCCCTGAGGAAAAAGGGATAGGGCCTCCATGAGCAGGTGTGCAGATGTGCAGGTTGTCCACTGTGTCACTCAGAAGGGGCTGCTGTTCTCCATGTAAACACACACTGCATAATCTGCAGTTTTGACCTAAACTCTCAGAATCATCCTTTCTGGGCCCCCAGGTTCTCTTGCAGTATCAGGCGAGTGGAGGCTGGTCCTTCACCTGTGGAGGGACCCTCATAGGTTGTTGCTGGGTTATGACTGCTGGCCACTGCATCTCGTGAGTTCTCTTTCTGCTCCCATCCCTGCCCTGTCAACTGCCCCTGTGCAACACCCAAGCATCCCAGGCCAGGGGGTGGTTATGGGGGATTGGCAGTTAGGCCGAGGCTGACCTCCCCTCTCATGGCAGGAGTGGTCGGACATACCGGGTTGTGTTGGGAGAGCACGATCGTTCAGTGACAGAAGGACCTGAGCAGCCCATCATTGTGAGTGACATCTTCGTGCACCCCAATTATGACGACTATAATGTGGCCAATGGGTGAGTGAGCTCCCAGCCTGGGACCGGGCTCCTGTGTTCTTCCCTCCATGACCACAGCTCATCTAGTCCCTCACCTGTGTCTGGGTAGCTCAGCATTTTCTGGTGAGATCACAGCCAGGAGCAGAAACCTTACAAACCCAATACAGGACTTAGAGACTATTGTCATGGAAACCACAGTGCACCCCAACACGGAGCCTGTGGCCATAGGAAGTGAGACGCAGGAGAAATGTCCAGAGTGACAGCAGGCAGAGCAGTGGTCCTCATGATGTGGTCTGTGGGGCATCAGCACCAGCATAACCTGGGAACTCTGTGAGTGATGTCAGACCTCAGGGTTCAGCAGGACACAGCCTCAGAGCCTGGGTTTGTGTCCCAGAATAATGGCTGCCTTCTTAAAAATTATTAATTAATCAAAAACCCCAGCCATGTGTTGTCAGTGAAAATCTGGGTAAACAAAGACTCTAAAGTGGACTATGTCAACCACTGGATTCTGCAGCAATTTCATAGTGCTTGGAATGGTCAGATTGGCAGCAATTCAGAACTGTTGAGTTATCAAAACCACTTAAGCAGGACCCTCAGAGCATGCCCCACATCAGGGACCTTGGATGGGTGGGAGGCTGGGTGGGGCTTCTCCCTTTATCTCCCCCCTTTACCCCAGATACAGAAAAAATAATAATAAGTCTTACCCACTTTCCTGTAGCCCTTGACCCTTTGTGCACTAATGCAATTTCAAAAAAATCATTAATTTTTATTTTTGAAAATCAGAGGGAGATAAAGAAATCTTCCATAAACTGAATTAAATCAAAACACCTACAAGAGTTACAGCTGTGCCACATGAGGCCAGGAAGCCAGCAACCAGTCAGGATGTGCAAGCAGGATACAGAGTTCAGGCAACAGAGCCCCCAGCTGCTTCCGCACGTGCACGTGAGGAGGAAGCTGGAACGGAGCAGCTGAGACTGGCACCTGGCACTGTGATGGGGGATGCAGCCAATAACCACTGTGCTACCTGTCCCCTAATAACTGTGTGTTGCAGCCCTCCAGAGCATTCTGAAGGGTGACACCAGGAATGACACCAGGCACAGTTATAAAAGCCAAATGCTGAGGGCTTCTGGAAGCTTCTGAAGTAGAAGAGGAAAGTAGTAGCAGTATCCAAGGGGTTTCCAAGGCCACCAGGCTATATATGACTTTTTAAAAAAGATTTATATTACTGGAAAGGCAGAGTTTAGGGAGGTAAGGAAACAGTCTCCATCCACTGGTTCAGTTCCCAAATTGCCACAGTGGACAGAACTGTGCCGGTCTAAAACCAGAAGCTTTTTCCATGTCTCCCACATAAGGGCAGGGGTCCTCCACTGCTTTCCAAGGCCATTAGCAGGAAGCTGAATAGGAATTAGAGAAGGCACAAACTGAACACATATGTGATGCCAGCACAGATGGGATCTAGACTGAAATGCCACCATACTATGATTCCAACTGACCCCTTTGTCCCCACAGCTATGACATCGCCCTCCTCAAGCTGTCCAAATGTGCCAACAAGACGGATGAGGTCCAACCTGCCCGCCTCCCTCCTGCTGGCTACATCCTGCCCCACGGGACAGAATGCTATGTCAGTGGCTGGGGCCGGCTCACCAGTACGTGTTGCCCAGGGCCCATGGCAGAAAGACAGGCCGGGGTCAGGGACAGACGTTATTTCAGGTCTGGTCTCAGGGATTTTCTCAAACAGTGTGCTCAGCAGAGTATTTTGGAGTCTATATCATGGATATAGAGTACTAGATCAGGGATGTAGAGGCACATAGAACATGATGATAGTGTAACTGGGAGACCCCTCAGCCCAGGAGAGCATGAGTCACCATGGCCCTTTCATGGGCTCCTACCCTGCCCTCTGGGCCCTCATTGCTCTCTGTCTCTGCAGCTGGTGGAAAACTGCCAAACGAACTACAAGAAGGTCTGCTGCCCGTGGTGGACTACGAACACTGCTCCCAGTCGGGCTGGTGGGGCTCCACCGTGAAAGAGACCATGGTGTGCGCCGGCGGGGAAGAAGTCTCTGGTTGTAACGTAAGTCACTCAACTTCCATGGAGAACAGAGTCCTGGTGTACCTCTGCTATTCATGTAGGTGGAGAAGCTATCTTCTCTGCTGACCACAGTGAGGCTCCAGGCCAGGCAGGACCTGCGAAAGCACAGCCCACACACCCTGACTCCTGGCCCACCTCAAACGCCCCCTCCCCTGGGACCATCACTGTCCCTCCTCCTGATGCTCAGCCTGCCCAAGCAGCACAGCAGGGACACTTGCACCACCACCTTGAGTCACCCACTCTCTGGGCTCTGCAGGGATCCTCAACCACTGTGCTGTGGCAGCTGAGTCCTCCTAGGCAGCAGGGAAGGTGCTGCCAGCAGGGGGCGCTGGCATCTCTCGGGGCTCCCCCTGTGCCAGGGGCTGTGCTGAGGTCCTGTGTGGGTCCCTTGCTGCTCAGCAGCTGTGGTAACACAGACCCTGGTCCTGGCCAGCTGAGGCCCTGAGGCTGGGAGAGGTGCAGCAGTGTGGGTGTGTCTGCAACCCCCAGGTCAGAGACAATTCCTTCCAGCTGAGATGTGGCTCAGTTCCCACCCCTCTGACCATCACAGGGTGACTCTGGAGGACCCCTCAACTGCCCAGGAGAGGATGGTGAGTTGGAGGTTCATGGCGTGACCAGCTTTGTTTCTGCCCGTGGCTGCAACACAGAGAAGAAGCCCACTGTGTTCACCCGCGTATCAGCCTACATTGACTGGATTAAGGAGGTAATGTCTGCATAGCAAGGAGGGTTCCAGGCTAGGAACTCTCTGACATGGGGACTGGTGACAGGGCAGCAAGGTCAGATCCCGGTGAAGGGCTGCATCGAGCCCAGAAGGGCAGTGGGGGAGGGGTCCTTGGGGACATTCCCAAGGGGTCTAGAGATGTGTTCTGCTCTGTGTAATCTCAGAACTTCTCAGCCTAGACTGGAGCTTTGCACTTCCTTATTCAGTGAGGGTTTCTCAGTGTGTTCTCTGGTCGGGTTCATACTTGTCATTGAGGACAGAGGACACATGGCCAGCCACCTGGTGCAGAAGATGTGCAATGAACAATAATGGTGAGGAATGGTGAGAACTATAATGGGAAGCTGGGGGCTCAGGCATCATCAGCGGACAGCTGGCCACAGAGGGTTAATACTGTGCATAATTACAGTAGTGAGCATCTTTTAGATATCATGTAAAAATGCCCCAGGGTCTTCATGGGATCCTTGAATAATGGCTAATCCTGAATGGGGTAAGTACTTTCATCACCACTGCCATTAAAGAAAGAAACTGAAGCTCAGAGAATGCAGGACACTCTCCCATGTCACACAGGAAATGATGCTAACCAGGATGTTTTGTCCTCTCCCTGTTTATTTCCATACAATTGAGAACAACCTCCCATGCCCGTGCTGATCTCACATGATTATATAGAATAAAGTTCTCTCAGCAATTCCTGAGTTGGGTCTCTCCTCCGTTGCCTCTTCCCCTCTGGCTTGTTCCTGAGATCTGAGAGCTGACGTGCAGCCTCAGACTCTTACGTAAGGACAAGAATATCCTGGGTCCAAGAGAAAAGGGGTCATGATGGGGTGACCACACTCTTGGATTTCCTGGGACTGGGGCGGTTCTCAAACCCAGGACTTCCAGTGTAGAAAGAGAGGCAGTCCCAAGACAACCGGGACACACTGGTTCCCCAGGATAGAGTCCCAAGAAAGTAGTGGTATTCAGGGACAGCACACAGTGACACCTGCAGAGAACCCAAGCCTGCCCTCTTTTGGGAGACTCGTGATAGGGTGCAGTACCAGGGATTTCTGCCTCCACTGACTGGCAGGAGAAGGAGGGCTGTGTTTATTTATTCACTCAGTATCATTCATTCCTCATTTCAGAGCAGGGCTCCGAGAGGCAGGGAGATGTGGGTCATGGTCGGAAGTGGTTTATTATTTAAAGAGAAATGCACTGGCCTGGTATATCAGGTAAAGCCTCTGTCAGTGGTGTCAGCATCCCATATTGACACTGGTTCAAGTCCTGCCTTCTCCACTTCCAATCCACTCCCTAAAGATGGCCTGGGGAAACTGCAGACAATGGCCAAATCCTTGGGCCCCTGCTCTCACCTGGGAGATATGGGAAGAATTTTCTGACTCCAAGTAGTGTTGCTTCTCCTCCAGGGTATGTAATAGAACATCTTCCCTCTATCCTAAAGACATATGTGGCAGGTGGCTAGCTTTGACCAGGCTGAAGCATGAAGACACATGGTTATGAGCAAGCTCTCATTGTGACTCCATGCTGATCAGCCAGGACTCTGAGTGAGAAAATATTGATCAAAGCCTCCCCCAGCCCCTGACAAGATGCAAGTTCTGCTGTCCTCACCATCAAGATTTTAAGCATTGTCTGTTGTAGGGATTGGACCTACCCTAGCTCAAGGATACAGTGGGTTTGGTTTTCTCCTGCCCCTCCGTCTGGTGTATCCCTTATGGAAATGCCCACACAGAACACGGTGCATTGCTGTGGTCTTTAGAACAAGCCAGGCTGGCATAACAATATGAGGAGCTCTTCATATCGCGGCTGCTCCACTTCACATCCAGCTCCTTGCTTGTGGTCTGGGAAAGCAGTTGAGAACGACTCAAGGTGTTTGGTTTTGCACAGGCATGGGAGACCTGGAAGCAGCTCCAGGCTCCTGGTTTCAGATCAGCTGAGCTCTGGCCATTGCTACCATTTCAAAACGAACTAGTGGAAGGAAGTTTTTCCTTCTTTTCCTCTCTCACTCTTAACTTGTCTTGCAAATAAAAATTAAATAATATTTTAAACACACCTAGCCACATGCTGAATGAGCAGACCTGCTACTTCCCTCTTCCTCATGACCTTGGGTTCCTGAGGTCTCTTCTTGTTGCTTCATTTCTGCCTTATGTCTGTTAGTGTGTGTCCTTTATATGACAACACCAGTTGTCTGTTCCTGCCCTGCTGATGGACACTCAGAGCAGGGTCCTTCTCCTGTGATTACAAGCAGTACTACATCCATGTGCTTGACACGTGTCCAAGTGCACCTGCGTGGGAGTTTCCCTAGAGACTATCCTAAGTGCTGTGGTGGCTGAGTGGGAGGTGTGCTCATTCTCATCTTACCAATGGCCACCTTGCTCTCCATGGGACAGCACCAACAGCACTTCTCACAAGTCCCTGCTTCTTCTGTCCTCATCCACTGCCCCTTCACATACATTTCACATCTTATTTTCTAAGGTCACTTCTGATGTCTCAGTCTCTACTATAAAGCCTGCTCCAGCCATGACTCCCTCTCTGATCTTTCCAAAGCCAAGAGCTAGTCTGCAAGGACTGGAGGAGGGCAGGACAGGTACACAGGCAGAACAGACTTCAGCATCATGAGCAGGATGGGTGGGGGCTCTGGAACACACAGACCGTAGTCCTTGTGACCAAGGCACACACACTGATCAAGGCACAGCAGGGCTGTAAAGGCTGAGTGTCCACTTCTTCCTGAGGGCCAGGAAAGGCCCTTTGCGCATTGTCCATGACAGCTTCAGGTGATGGATGAGATTATTGTGTAGATGGTGGACCCCAGGATACACCCCTCCAGCCTCAGGAAAAGCCTGCAAACAGCTTTGACCCTTCTCACCACACACAGGCAGCGAACAAGCAGGAAATCTTAGCAAACAATGCCAACAATTTCATCAGCAATTAAATTTTAGTTTTTAAAAAAATCTCCAAGACTATACAAATTTTTACATAACATCTAGCCACTAATTTATATTTTAACTGGTATCTCAGCCTTCAAGGTTCTGCTTTTGTTTCCAAATCACAGAAAACCAACACCTTTTTGACACAGCACAATGTCATTTGCTCAGTTTCCTTCTTAAATTGATAGAGACCATTGCTTCTATGCGTCCTTTTTAATCACAGAATGTCAACAATTTAATTCTCATTCAGAAAATAAGTGTCATTCATTCACTCCTTTAATCCATAGAGTCAACAGTTTGACACCCCCCCCCCAAGGACATTATTAGTGCCCACATTTTAGAGACTTCTGCCTTAGGAAATATTTTTTTAAATTTAGTTTTGTTTATTTGAAAGGCAGAGTCAGAGAGAGAGGGTGAGACAGAGGGAGAGAGAAATCTTCCATCTGCTGGTTCACCATCCATTGGCCATAATGGTCAGGGTTAGCCAGGCTGCAGTCAGGAACCGGAAAATCCATCTAGGCCTGCCACATTCAGGTCCCTTACTCCTTAAGGGTGACAAGACCCAGCTACTCAGGCTGTCCTCCACTGCCTTCCCAGCTGCATCAGGAAGGAGTTAGAAGTGGAGCAGCCAGGACTCCACCCAGTATACTATCATGTGATCTGGTACCTTATAAGGCAACTTTAACACTGCAACACAACCTCAGCCCAGCATATACAGGTATTTTTCTAATCTATTTCTTTTCATTTGAGTGACTGTGAGAAACTGAGACAGCTGGCACTTTCATCCAAGGTACACTCCCAAAATGCCTGCAGTGGCCAGCACTGGGCTGGGTTGAAAGAGGGGGCTTCAAACTCAACCCAGATCTTTCACATGGGTGACAGGAACCCAGTCTCTTGACAGTGCCCAGCTGGTACCCAGGTCTGCATTGGCAGCATGTCGGAGTCAGGAGCTGGAGCTGAGTAAGGAAGATGGGAACTATAGATGTGGGACACAGGCCTACTAATCACTGAGGTAGGAGAGTGTCTGCCCTCAGGTGCAATAATTAAAGAGAGACAGTCAAAGTGAGCGAGAGAGAGAGAGAGAGAGAGAGAGAGAGAGAGAGATGTACTGACTTGTTTACTTGACATGTAGCATGAAAGAGAGGAGTAAAAGAGAGGCGTGGGACACAGACAGAAAGAGGTATTTCATCTGCTGGTTCACTCTCCAATTGGCCACAAGAACTGGGACTGGGCCACCCTGAAGCCAGGAGACGAGGACTGAATCCCCATCTCCCCGATGGGTGGCAGGGCCCCAGGCATTAGGCCAGTCTTCATTGATTTCACAAACACATCAACAGGGAGCTAGATTGGAAATGGAAAAGTCAGGTTTTGAACTGGTGGCCCAATGAGATGTTAGCATCACAGGTGGTAACCTTATTCACTACGCCAACCTGCCAGCACCTAATTTTGGAAAACTGTTAAACGTCTTCAAAAGGACCTCTTCCTGCAACAAGCCCTCCCCTTCCCCTGGGATCACTGTTTCTTTCTGTTCCCATGCTTACTTCCCTAGTGGGGAATGTCCATTTAAGTCTTCTGTTATCAGGCTAGTTGCAGACTGAGTTCCCTAACATTACCTGGCTCCCATTGACAGCATGCCTTGGAGCACAGGGCAGTATTGGTGTTCCTAAATGACGTGTTCACAGACATGAACAAAATGGAAGATTCTACTCCTCCTCTAGCTGGAACCAGCACTCTGCTCTCAGGGTCTTGTGACTCAGACACACCCAGTTTATGTGTTTCTTCCTCCTGGAAGCCTTACCGGAGCTTTTCCTCCTGATGTTCCATGTAGCTGAGGATGTATTCTCACCTTCTCAGGACCACTCTCTTACTTTTGTTTGGAAACCCTGTGAAACTAGTGGTTTATAGAGTGAGTGTTACCAATCTGGCACTGCTGCTGTTTGCTTCACCTGCTCATAAACAGTGAAGTTCCCAACGTGATACATGCTGCACTACCTGGCAGGGTGGATCTGAAGGGACCACTGTGCACAATCTATGAATGTTTGAGAAGTTCTGAAGGCCCTCAGATGCAGGGGAACAAACTGT